GTAATCTTTGTTATGTCATTTCATGGGTTACACTAAAATGAGGGAGGATTGTTGGTGATTTTGGTGTCACCGGCCGTTTTGTGTAATTGGAAATGACATGAGTGCCAATGAGAATTAGAACTATGATCTAATACTAGTTAGTAAGTGTGGAGTGCACACTTGTATATAAGAACTGTTTTAATTCCAAAGTGTCTACTATACGTTAGTGGAACTTGAGGAAGAACTCGAGGTATAACTTTCAGTAGACCAGCTATGTGGTTCTAGACCGAGTTCTAGAATGGTTGGGCAGTTTCCAGCTGTTTCCCAAAAACTGCTGCAGTTTCTTAAACGTGTTGCAACTGCCTAGAACGGTTAATATGGATATATATCACCATATTTCGTACAGAGGAGCAAGACAAATCATATCCAACGAATCTTCATCACTTTGACACTCAAATTAAAGATAACAATCCATATACTCACTAGTTTGGCTCTTGTTCTTGTGCCTAAGTTCTAGAGTGTCCTTAAGGATTATCTTAGATTGAATTTCTTGTAACCCAAGCATAGAGGAGAAATATCAATTCGGAAAGTGAACTTACACGATCCTTAAGATATCCAAGTACTCAATTATCTCCTCCTACGTGATATACCCCAACAGTACACGAATCTAAATGATATATTCATAATTCTAGAAGGGCTTATTTAACCCCTTTTCCATTAATTAAGCCATTTATAGTAATCATGGTGCTCATAAATGAGACCCAAAAATATTAACGGTAATGGCCTAGCCTAATGCGCAATTATTTGTGAATGGAATACTTGAACACGGATACAAGTAACTGGTAAGAACTTGACGCATGGGAATAAATTTAAGGACACCATTTTGGCAGTGTTTCATCGATGGAAATCAGGATTTTGCATGGCACGATCGCACAAGAACCGCCTTTCTCCTTGACTCCATTGAACCAACCTTCGCAGCTATAGCAACAACACGTGGCACCCGTCCACCTACGTCATCCAACCAAATTTCAAAAAATAACTAAAATAGAATGGATGATAGTTATAAAATACACAAAATTCATACATTTACAAGACCAGGTCACTTTAGATAAAACTTAAACAGATTAACAAATTTCAGCTCGAGTAAAAACATCCTAAAAATCACGGCCAAACGAGTTAGAGACAAAATTAATTAATGTAATGTCCAACATTTTTATAATCACACGTAAATTAATCCATATTTTTTATAAGCACGATACAATATATGAGCTATGGTGAGTGGTGACATAATCTGGCCCGGCCTGCACAAAAATGAGTTTGGTCTAAGATTTTTCTAAATATTCTGTCCATTCATACAGGCGGATCCGGCTTGGTGCGCAACAAATGGGTCTAACTTTGATTTTTTTGAGAATTATCAAAAAAAACTAGAACACATTTAAAATAATACTTCCTCCGTTCCCTTTTAATTGCAACAGTCAACATTTCACGCTTGCCAACGCACAAGTTTGACCATTAATATCTTTCATTCCTTATTAGTAAAAAATTTAAAAAATTCATATTTTGAAAATTTAGAATGAGAAGGATTTAATAATATTTTTTTAAAAATTAATTTATAATACATTAATGAATAAAATATAGTCAAAGTAGAATATGTGAATAGTGAAAAAAGTCCAATGTTGCGATTAAAAGAGAACGGAGGATAGTATTAGAATATTTTAATGATTCATAATGTACGTTTACAGGTCCCTCACACCACATAAACAAAAAATGGTTACAGAAAAATAATGTACGTACCCAAAGCAACCTAGAAGGAGGCCTATTGGCGTGATGGGGAGAGAGACAACAAAGGGGAGGCAGCCAACGAGGCAGGTCATGCAGCGGGGTTTACACTCATGATCACCGGAGCAATTCATGGTGGTGCTGCTTTCGTTGCCTTCTGGACCGGCAGACAGAGTCGATCGAACCGGGATCGGGGGAGGAAAACGAGTAATTACTATGCTTGTGTATAATGTTCCGTTCAGATCCTTTATATATATACTAAGTGCATAAGCCAACAAAGATCATCGACCTGCCTGTTTTTTTAGTCAAAAAGGTTAAAGGAAGTCACCATCATTTTCGGAGTTGAAGATTTAGTAAATTTTTATTTTGATTTGAGCTGGATGTTATTGAGAGCGTCAAGTGTGATGTATCATGTATTCAGGACATCTCCAATGTGATGTACTCAGCGACAAGTGTGATGTACATGTACTGAGGAGGGCATCTCCGTAAGCAATTTATAAATATGTACGGAGTACAATATAAACTTTGCAATTTAATGTCTCACACTCTCAATTTGCTTTCCCCCCCTCTTATTCTAATAAAACGTTCCTTTATAACTTAAGTATTTCTTTAAATTGTGCATTATAAAATATTTTAGGGATCAATGTTGTCTTCTATTTTAATTTTAAGAGGAATATTTGTTAAATTAATAAATTTTGTGTGTTAATTATTTTAATATTGTGTGTTCATTATTAACATGAGTTTTGTGTTACCCTGAAATAAGTATAATGTAAAAATAAATGTGCATGAATAAACATTATAAAAAGAACGACAAATTATAAATTATTTTGAAACTAGAATCTATTATATTACTCATTGTTAATTATATATGTAGTATATTACAATCATACAATGTGCATTGTGTTATTAAAACTGGCTGAGCTTTAGTGTTAAGAAAGATTTATTCTAACTTATTTGTAATGAATATAGAGTGAAATTTAGTCCCCATACTTTTACAAAAAAATAAATAAATTAGGTCCTCGTACTTTATTAAGAAAATCAATCAAATCCCCGAACTTTGTAAAAACGTTCAATTGAGTACATTTGCAGGTTACTTATCATGTCACCAGGATACCCGATGACGTGTCGCGCACATGGGTATTACAAGAACAAGTGTGCGGTATATTTTTCATATGTTTGCATTATTGCGTGGTGATTACTTTTCTGTGTAGGTCCTCCAAAATGCTAAAAACATCCCAACCAAGAAAACATAATGGATGAATGTTTTGATGAGTGACTTAGGTTTACAATGAGCTCCAAAAGGAGTATATATGGAGAAATAATGGGGCCGCTAATATGGGCCCGACAGGCCCAACTACATAAAAGGCTAATCTAGTACATATAATGAATGTGTAAACACTACAATAATATAAATGTCCTCTGCTGGATGTACGTGAACCGCTGTCCAGGCCCAATAGTCGGTAGACCGGGGGGTCATAGTCCATATACTCCATCAATAACTTTCATAACATTTATATAACACCATACCACAACATCTTGTTCTTAAGTAAACATGATATTTGACTCATAATAACTACATGTTAGATACTCTTAGTCTCTTAGTATATATTTTTTAATGGCAATGTGAGGCTATGAGCTCAGATAATACTAGATTTACTTGGTACTTTTAGACAAAGATACTTTAGATTCATTCATTCGTGTTAATGGTACTTGAAAGAACATATGACATTACATGAACAATTTGAAAAGTACGTAATATAAAACGGATCATATGTAAGTACTATACTATATCAACCCTGCCTAGAAACATGGAGGGTATCAGTAATTGGAACTATGGGTTTTGGCCTCAATTTAAATAGTTTAGAGGAAGAATCATGGTAATCTTCACAAAGTATTGATGCCTTTATTTGAATGGTGTTTGACAAATCCCTAAAAGTAGTATGTACAATAGTTATAAAAACATAGTTTCATGAAAAGGTTGTAAAGAACAATATAGATGTGTTCTTTTTTGTTTACCACTCTGCCAATTTTGTTGCTCTTTCAGATTTTGGATTCAACTTTAGGTGTGAGTCAAACTATGTTGCTAAAGCTACACCGGCAGTAAATGTTAATTTTATTAGCACTAAGTTTTTATAACATCCACAGATGCAACTATAGATGAATCACTTATTCAAGGTTTGGGTCTTGTGCCCTTCACAAAAGAATATACTCAATTTTGTGGGAAAATCTCAAATTTGAATAAAACGATTTAAAATTTAAGGTATGTGGAGAAGAGTTTAAGTTTTTGATTAATTGTTTCAATGGCTTGTTTATAAGTCATTCCTTGAACTTCATAGCCCTGCAATGAGCATAGCAAGTTTGTTATTTTTTTTTTTTGCTTTTGTTCAATTTAATCATGTCAAAGAAGACACTTGTACAACTTCATCCTCCAAAACAATAGCTTTGTGTGCGTTGCCAGGAGTGCTTTGTGATTGCCAGGAGTGCTTTGTGATTCTCAAGTTTGATATTTAGCAATGGTTTGGACTTTGCAACTCTATAGCCCTGTTCTTTCACCAATGTTTGCAATCAAATAGCTTTGTAACATCCTTCAAAAGAAGCATAGAATCAGTATTAAGAATAGACGAAGCCAAGTAAAACAACAAAGTTTGCTGTTTGAGAGCCGCGTTTTAGAGTAAGTCCATCTACTGTGATCAGTTTTAAAAGTGTGGTTGATAGATTAGAGTTACTACCTCGGTCCCCCTAAGTTTGGGACAAGAGAAGATGACACGGTTATTAATAAAAGTGGGTTTATGTGATTGATAGTAAATTGATAAAGTAAGAATAAAGTAAGAATGATTTAGAACCACACAAACTTTACCAAATAAGATATGAGACAATCTTAGTGGGACGGACCGAAATGGTAAAATGGGACCATCATAGCGGGACGGAGGGAGTATAACTGTCATGGAAATAATTGATTTTTGTCAAAAATACGAAGGGAGTGAACAGATCGAATGAGTTTGGAACTGTTCAAAGAGAGGATATTGGTAGTGGTGGTTTTCCACAGATGTTTTCTTTTGGACTGTTTTCAGTCCCATATCAGACCAGACCAGACTTCCGTAGTTATAAAATACACAGAGACCAGACGTTTACCAGATCAGACCAGATCAGATGACCAGACCAGATCAGACCAAACCAGCAAATTTCAGTCCAAAAGAAAACATCTCAAGTGATGAGGAATGGATTCATAATAGAAAAAAGCTGACTTGCTGAAAATTAAATGAATGGATTTGAACCAATTTATGACTGATAATTCTGATATTTTTTTGCTTACACCAACGGGAAGTGATAGATGAAAGTGAGGCTGGTGCAAGAAAGGTGTTACATATAAAGTCGATATGCTGTAGTAGCAAAGAAGATTTGAGAAGATGAGTGACACGAATCAACGAGAATCTCCTTGGCCTTCTCCCCTAGTCGCCAATTTTTCTTATTTCTCGGCCGAATCAGATATCACGAGAGGGATCTCAAGCAGTGCTTCTATGCAATGAACACAGGCAAGAAATAAAAAAATACTCCGTATTTCCACTTTCAAAATAAGCATTTTTTGGGCCCATTTCTATAAAAAATCCCTCTTCTTTGCACATTTTAATCCGAGTGAAGTGAGGAGGCGGGGAAGGCTTAGCCATAGCCGGGAGCATCAAAGCATTGGACACCTAACAATTAGATGCCATTATAGTCTTCAATTCCCAAATGTCTCACGACACCCTAGCTGATCTGATCCGGCAAGTCCAGGTCCTGACCCGGAAGGAATCCGGCTTACCGGACTACGACCCGAAAGATCCGACCCTCCTCCTTATATTGTGTTCTACTAACCCATCCAAGAAAGCATTTAGGTGGCACTTTTTTCCACGTAGACAACTAGGTTTCTACTTGAAGAACAACTTTAAATGGCACATTGCTAATTTGAGAATGGTTAATGGAAATTTCAAAATTCTTTTTGTAGAATGACCTTTGCGCTTTTCAATTTACAGAGCATGAGGAAGACGATGATGAAGCCAACCAAAACAACAAAGTTTGCTCTTTGAGAGCCGCATTTTAGAGTAAGTCTATCTACTATGATTGGTTTTAAAAGTGTGGTTGATAGGTTAGAGCTATAACTGCCATGGAAGTAATTGACTTTCGTCGAGAATTCGAAAGCAGTGAACAGAGTGACATTGGAACTGTTCAAAGAGAGAATATTGGTAGTGGTGGTTCTTCAAGTGATGATGAATGGATTGGTAGTAGAAAAAAGCTCACTTGCTACAATTCAGTTATGCTTGCTGAAAATGAAATGAATGGGTTTGAACCATTTTATGACACCGAGAATTTTGATAATTTTTTGCTTACACCAAGTGGAATTGATGATGAAGGTGAGGGTGGTGCAAGTAAGGAGAGTGTTACATATAATGAAAGTTGATAATAATGCTACACACAAAATGTTAGTAGGAAAAATAGGTATGAAGTTTTCTTCCCCCAAAACTTTCAAAAAAACAACTAGTGAGATATGTTGTAGTTGCAGGGTATAGTATTAGATTTAATAAAAGTGAAAAAAACTATCCTCGGAGTCTTGAAATGCTTACTTATTCCTACTAGATCTCTAAACTATTTTTTCTTATTAGTAAGCAATTCTAAATTCTTTTCCAGCCTATAAAAGCCAAATTGACATTAACACCTGTCTATGCATTAAAAAACGAAATACGGACAAAAGGAACATACATGCCTCGAGTTTAAACAAGGGAAAATTCTCTAAATAGTACGGAGCAGTAGAAGAGTTTTGAAATTCTAAAATAAGAATGTCATATTTTTATTCCTTAAATTGAAGTAATTTCTGTCAAGTTTGACATTATCAACTTTGAACATGACAGTTCTGGCAAAGAGGATACTCCGTATTTCCACTTTCAAAGTAAGCATTTTTGTTGGTCCATTTCTATAAAAATTCCCTCTTGTTTGCACAGTTTAATCTGTCACTGATCTCCGAGTAAAGTGAGGAGGCGGGGAAGGCTTATCCATAGCCGGGAGCATCAAAGCATTGTACATTCAACAATTAGATGCCATTATAGTCTTCAATTCCCAAATGTCTCACGACACCCTAGCTGATCTGATCCGGCAAGTCAAGATCCTGACCCGGAAAGAATCCGGCTTACCGGACTACGATCCGAAAGATCCGACCCTCCCCCCGCTGCCTTCTGTCTCCGCCACCGTTGCCACCTTGGACCCTTCGCCTCCCAACCTCCGCTGCAAGCGCTGCCGAGGGCGGCTTCTCAGAGGGCTGCAATCTCTGATTTGCATTTACTGCGGCCTGAAACAGCACCAGAAGGACGACGCATCAGCCCCCGAACCCATTTCATTTAACTCTACTCTTAGCTATCGCTTGTTGCTGCAGTCACTCCGCCTTGATGGATCGGTATGTCAATGCTGCATTACTCCATCTCTACACTCCTTTTGCCTGTATTGTGGATGTCGTGTAATTTGTGCTGGAAATGTTGCACCTAGGTGGAGATTCACATAATGGGGTGTTAAGAATGGTGGCTTTTAAGAATTGTGGATCGCATCCGTCAATTTTTTGGCTTAAGAATTGTGGCTTTTAACTGAAGTGTCTTCCAACTCCTGTTGTCAACTCTACATAGGCTCGTTTAATTAGTAAATATAATTGTGTATTTAGCTAGTCCTTCTTTAAAGTGCAATTCGTAGGAAGTAAATGATGAATGTCATGTAAGTGAATTGGAGTTTATTGGGGGGGGGGGGGGCATGGATTGCCTTGGCTTAAACTGAATTTCTTTGAATGAGAAAGGAGATCACAATCTTTTGGTAGTAATGACTGACAATTCAGTATTGAAGTTCGAAAGTAAAATTCTTAGCATACTTAGGTCTACAAAGATATAAAACTGAGAAGCTATAGAAACATCAATAATCAGATCAGTGAAGGGTTCTAGCTTTATGTTCTCTCCCAAGTTAACTGAAAGAAGATTGATGTGAGCTGTAAACAATGAAATTTTTTACAGTAATTTTCATCTTATGAAGAGCAACATGATACATTCTACTTTTTATAGTATGTGTGTATTTCTCATGCTAGTCCTCTACATGACTACATTCTACATTTTATCACTTTTGGGAGAGACTGGCCTTAATATAATCAACGGCTACTAACTCTATTTTGTCAAGTCTATGGGCGCAATGCATCCAATGTCTAGAGTATCAATCAAGAAACACTATAATTTGTCTTTTTTGTTTTTTCCTGCTTGATTCTCTCTTTGATTCATTGACTCGCTCTGCTATGTAATTTCCTTATTTAGGCATTTGCTTCGCGCCTTCGCAGATTAGTAGTGTGAAGTTGAAACATGATTTCAGTGACATGGTGCTATTGTCTTGCAGGAAAAGGTTGGGCCACTTAGTGAAAAGGGTGAAAAGCTTGAGTTTAAAAGAGGTCACAATATCCAAAAAGATAACATTTGCTTGTCTGAGCTTTTAGATTTTAAAATAAGCTTATTCAACAACCAGGAAAAGCCAGAAACTGACCAGGAGCAACAAGGCAACAGCTCTTTAAATTATAACTTTGTTGACCTTGACAGTTTTTTCCCCAGAGCAAAGAGTGATAATACGATTAACCCGGACAAAAATGAACATGAAGCTAAAACTGCAGGTACTCATGATCATAGTTCGTTTCAGAATGCTCAGCCCCTCCAACAAGCTGTCACCCCATCTCAAAATTATGAAAGAGATGATTTTTCTGAATGGGAGGCAGATTTTAGGTCTGCTGATTCTGAAGTTCCAAGTGATTCAAAGACATTTAACCCTGCAACCGGCTCTACAGTTGATTCTTCTATAGGTTATGCCATTGATCTTTCTGAGCACATGGATTCCATCTTCGTAAAGAACTTATGTGGGAGTGAAAAAGAAGACAAGTCAAAAACTTTGCATAAAGTGAGCAATTCGAGTTCAGGTGACTCTCAGAGTAATGCTACAGCGGAAGTTTTTCAGAAAAAAGAGCCATTTGACTCAAAGGTGGAAGTGAATGATTATCATCAACAAAATAGTTCGGACAGTCCAACAAATGTTGACTGGTTTGAAGATAAACAGTGGCCAACTAGTTTGTCCAGTGCAGCAAACATAGGAGAAGATTCGATTGATGAGTGGAATGATTTTACCAGCTCAAGCAATGTCAAAGATCCTCAGGGAAAGGAAAGCACGCAAGTTGAAAATCAGGCCGACTTTCATTTGGACAGTATAGTATCTCATACTGCCAATGCACCCAATTATAATTCAATGGATGTGGATGGGGATATGTTTGAAGATTGGAATGATTTCACAGCATCAACTGTCATATCAGAAAATGATAATGCTGCAAATACTTCCGGAAACGTTTCAGGGTTGAACTTTTTTAGCTCTAATGAGTTTGGCGATATGGATTTTGGCAACTTTTCGCATTCAGGGACTAAGATTCCTGGACTAGATCACTCCATGGGCAGGTGTGTAGATATTATTAGATTAGACATGATATATTTGAAGTTTTTGCACAGATGTTTTCAACCTTTCATCCTCTTCCTTGGAGGGAAAAAGTCTCCAGAATATAAAAGTTAAAAGCATGTTGAAGATATGCTAATGAAACTACGTACCTTTAAAACCTCACCCCCACTAAAAACAGTTATTTCATTTTAAAAAAATTGCTCTGATTAAAGCTCTCATGCTATGCAATATTTAATACGGAGTATAAATAATTCCAAATATATAACCAAAATAAAAGCAATTGGAAAAAATGTGACTCAACTTTAGTGACTACGTAGTATAATTGTATTCAAATGTTACATCGTAGTGACTAAAACTTATTCAATGTAACATGTAGTCACATTTTTGTCTATAGATTTTTTATTAGTAAAAATTTAGGAAAAACCTCTATTTAACAAGGGTTTTCAACTTGTGGAATGGGATATGTAAATAGATAATGTGGATAAGCCACCACATTTGGTTTGATATACTCCTACTACGTAATTGATTACAGACTGTGTTACTTAAAAAAGTGCTGTTCTTTTGCTTAAAAAAGCAACAAGTAGTGTTTTTGAATAGGTGCTTCTACCTGGATTTAAGTACTTTACAGTTTCTCTAAAACAAAAGTACTTTAAAGTTTTAGTTGGAAGCAGGGTGAGGGTGCTTACAAACGCTTTTAATACACCAAAAACGCTTTTAAAACCGCTTTTCTATTACATTTTACCTAACTAATACACCAAAAGTACTTTTCACCTAACACTCTAACTTCTACATTTAAAAAATCATTTTTCTTTCCAAACATTATCAATTTTTACTATTAATCACTTTCTGTGTAATCTCTATTATAAATCACTTCTCATCATCATCATTTTCATTTATCCCAGTGCCGCAAAGGCTCCCACCTACGGTGGAGTAAGGGGGGTCAGATGTACGCAGTCTTACCCCTGTACTAAAGCACAGAGAGACTGTTTCCGGATGACCCATAGTGAAAATCGCGTTCAAAATTGCATGGACGGACTGACTGCTGCTTCATAACAAAGAAGCGCAGACAGTTTAGTGAGCCATTTTGCTTTATTCCATCATATTCTCAAGCCAAAAAATAATGAATGGCTCCATTGCAAATGATGGAAATAAACTGTTTACATTATGATGATTATCATCATCGTCTTAAATGTTTGGTGATCACCTTTATTAAAACATTTTATTTCTTGCATCTTCAGCAACAGCAGCAGCACGGTAGACATCAAGGATACTGGAAAGGCTGTGGTCGAGGGTGATGGGGATGATATCAACAAAATGAAAACGAAAGAATCAACTCCCCAGTCAGATGGCGGCAATGATGATGTAGTAGAATATTTTTTGTCGCAGATGCATGATCTCTCATTTATGCTTGACACCAACCTTTCCATCCCCTCCAAATCACATAGTAACAATCCACCTCATTGACCACCTCTCTATATCTCTGTTGACTTGCTCTGGCCACAAGGCCCACAACATGCATGTCTGCTAACTTATTCTGGTTTCTGTTTGACTTCTTTATATAAAAATGGGGTTCTCATAAGTAGGGTCGTAAATGAATCGAATAATTTTGATTCGAATTCGAAAATCTCGATTCGAGTAAGTAGAATACGAATACGAATAAAAATACTATGATATTCGATTCGAACAATATTCAAAAATATTTGAATTATATTGGTATATATATTTATATATATTCATACAATATACACTACTTATAAATAAATATAATTCAATGTATATATAAATATTAATAACATAGGAGTAATATTTATGTGCAAAACTGGTAGGTATTTTTATATTTTAATGTAAATGTTCTTACTTTACCAGGGAAAAATATTGTATTTTAAAATTATAATTCTGCGTTGGTTTATTTATATTGATGTTAAATTTGAAGAAGTGACTTATATATATAGAGATTTAGGATCACATACAAACTAATCCTAATTTACAAAATAAAAATTAATCCTAACCATCCATATGAATGAGATAATGGTGTAGATGGAAATAATCCCCCATTAATTAAAGGGAAAATGGTCAAATAGGTCCTCCAACTTTCAAAAAAAAGTCAAATAAGTCCTTATATAGGAGGCTCTGTACGGCTGTTGCCATTTGGGGCGGTTCCCGGTGAAATTTTTTGATGAAAATTTTTGAACATCTTAATTCATTAAGTCTAGTTTACGCATACCAAATTTCAGCTAAAACTTTAATCGTGAACACATTCAAATTAATTATTGAAAATAACTACGCTTTTAACTGCGCAATTATCTTCAAGAATTCATTTGAATGCCTTCTCGATTGAAGTTTTAGCTGAAATTTGGTATGAGTAAACTAGACTTAATGAATAAGATGCTCAAAAAAATTCATCAAAAAATTCCACCGGGAACCTTCCAAAATGGCGACGACCGGACAGAGCTTCCATAATAAGGACTTATTTGACCTTTTTTTGAAAGTTCGAGGACCTATTTGACTCTTTTCCCATAATTAAATGTCCGTTTGTAGTGCTTGGAGGATAAAACTCTCTCCCATTAATACGGATGATTTTTAATGGGTCAAACCAAATCTCACCCTTGATTTTATAATATTGAATGGATGAGATGAGTTTGCATTTTGTATGGGAAGCATACTTTGTATCCAATCTTAACCCTATATATATATATATATATATATATATATATATATATATATATATATATATATATATATATATATATATATATATATATATATATACAGAATTATTCCTGTCCGGAATTTCTGGACAGGAGCCCCGTCCGGCCTCCTCCATTTAGGGGCCTTCTCGGTGGTATTTTTTGTTCAAATTTTTTGTGTATGTTCCTCATCAAGTCTAGTTCATCCATACCAAATTTCAGCAAAAATTTCAATCGGGAAAGTCGTCAAATGATTTTTGCAAGTTAACTGGTCCGGAATATACATATTCCGGACCAGTTAACTTGCAAAAATCATTTGACGACTTTCCCGATTGAAATTTTTGCTGAAATTTGGTATGGATGAACTAGACTTGATGAGGAACATACACAAAAAATTTGAACAAAAAATACCACCGGGAAGGCCCCCAAAATGAGGAGGCCGGACGGCGCTCCGGTCAGGAATTTCCTGACCGGAAGATTACTCTATATATATATAGGAAAATCTTCCGGTAAGGTATACCTTACCGGAGCCGCCGTGCGGCCTCCACGTTTTGAGGGCCTTCCCGGTGTAATTTTTCGATGAAATTTTTTGAGCATGTTCTTCATCACGTCTAGTACATCCATACCAAATTTCAGCAAAAAATTCAATCGGGAAGGCAGTCAAACAATTTTTGGAAGATAACTGCGTTTTATATGTATATAAAGGGTGCAGTTATCTTCCAAAAATCATTTGACTTCCTTCCCGATTGAATTTTTTTATGAAATTTGGTATGAATGTACTAGACGTGATGAAGAACATGCTCAAAAAAATTTATCGAAAAATTCCACCGGGAAGGCCCTCAAAACGTGGAGGCCGCACGGCGGCTCCGGTAAGGTATACCTTACCGGAAGAGTTCCCTAAAGGGTGTGTTTTCTCTTCCAACATTCATATCTTCTCACCTTCCTTCTTCAATTGTATCATTTATATCTTTCAATTTCTAAATCTTCTCATCATAACCTAAATAATTTTGAAAATAATACACTATTGCAATTACTTTTTTTGAATTTATCTTTCATTCAAGCAACTATTTCATTATTTTCTCATCATATCCTCAATAATTTATACCTCCTTTCACTATTCTTAATCTCACTTGTTTTTAAATGAGAAGATATAAATGTTACGCAGGTAGTATAAAACATGTACTCCGTACTACGTAAGAAGTGTATAATGTTACATCTACACCATAAATCCATTAGCTGAAACAGTGCACGGTAGAATATCCTGAATGATAAAATCCTCCATAACAATAAAAACATGCATAAAAAACACATACATTTTGAGGATACAAGGCATACATCTAAATACTTTATTCGTCTTTCTTTTATTGGTCTTTCTTTCGTCTATTCGATCTAGTGGGTAGTGACATTGAGAAACAGTTGTTGCAGCATTCTTGCACACTGTGGATCGTCCTGCAAAGCCACACCCGTCGAGTGAAAACATATTATGTGAATGAGAAATTGAGAATTGGAACTATGGGGTATTCTAGGGATGGACTGGGCCCATGCAGCCCGACCCGGGGTTGGTATTAGCCCGGCGGTTAATAAGGGGCGGGCTTCGGGCTTGATTTTTGAGGCCTTGGCCAATGGCTATTTTTTTTAATTAAATGGTGGGTACCGACCCGGGCGTGGTACTGTTTGGGCACGGACCAGAACCGGTATTGGAGCATACCAGGCCGGTACCGGGCTCCAATTATCCAGAACTGGTATCACCCGAGCCCAGCCCCGCCTGGCCCGACCTGGGTCTATCCCTAGGGTATTCTGAGTTGATTCTTATTCCTCTTAGATTAAATTCAAAATTAAAAGATTTCTATTGTGTGAGAATTTTGAGTGTTCGCCATTGCCTCTTGATAGGAATGGAAGGACCTGCTACCCATAATGGGGAGCGGGGAATATTGGTCCTGTTCAATTTCAGATAGGGTTTTCCTGGCCTATTTTAAAGTGAGGAAACACAGAACCCATCTAGTTTGGGCCTACTAAAAGGATCTGAAGATGGTTTAGATTGGTCTCATTTCTAGAACTGGTTTTGTTTCTTTACTCTAGTCCTGATCTGGTTTTGGGAACCTGACCAGCTGATTGGAACCACCACTACTTATGCTACATGAAATAAATATCACTTGGAGGCTTGGAGCATCTACATAGCTTGTCGTTTGTGACTAATGAGTGCAAATGACCAAAAGATTACGTAGCTTGCAGGATGTATACGTTGTTACATAAATTGATTCTATGTACTTGAAAAACAATCAAGTATTCGTTAGAGGGGAAGAATGAGTTGACAGAAATGGATGGAATAAATGAATGGAGAACTCACACGAAGAAAGTTGATGAATTTTTCTTGGGTCATTCTTGCAGGAATAGAGTTCTTAAAAGCATACATTGCCCTGTGGCAAGCAATATAACACGAAGTAGTGATAAGCTTAAAGGGTAAGAGAAGAATAATGGGCGGGTATAGACAGATCGACATCGTAAGTGGCTAACCTTGGAGCTTCGCAGAGCCTAAGGTAACAGCGAATAAGGAGTCTTAGTAAGCGTAAACACGGCTGCCTCTCAGGGAGTCGGTCTACCGCTTGTGCGAGTACACGAACCAGTTGGAAGAACCGTGCCCCATACGCAGTGCAGTACTTCAACCCCTCATCTTCCATCACTATCTTCAGTATCACCCAAGCTGAAACCTGCATTCATCTTCTTTTTGTGAGTTTTTGCATCTACTCTAGCTATGTGCTGCGTGTGTAAATATCATCTGCCTGAATTAGTTTCTTCTGATATTTAATGACGAAACTCTAACTAAATATACTTTGTGAAATCAGTGCACTTACCGTCTGAGTGAGCTCATCACCAAGTTCCATGCAACGAAGGCACATAGGGAAAAACTCAGACTTCAGCAGAAAATGGACAATTAGTTTTCCTTCTAGACCCTCACCCTGCATCCAAATATTAATTACATCAAGAGTTTAAAATTGAAATGTAGAGATATTGGAAAGAAGCAAGAAAAGGCATGGACAGGAGTGGATCCAGGAATCTGAGATGCCCTGGGCTAAATGTGAAAAATGAAAAATCTCACACTAAAAATTGAAAAATTTCTAAGTTGCCCCGGGCTTCAGCCTACCATAGCCCGTACATAGATCCTCCACTGGGCATGGATAAATTTGTAGTTTATATGGCCAGCGGCAGACCCAGGATTGAGTCCCCAAACTCTCCCCTGGTTATGGTTCCGACCCGGAACCACCGGCCAGTTTTGTCAAAAGAGTGGCTGATTTGGCCCGGACTAGTCCTTAAGACATTAATCTCACATGTCCACACCTAGTATGCACAAACTAATACACATTCACAATAGGAGTTGACTTGGTTTTTATTCCGAAACTCACTGAGTAAAAGTCACCCGAACTAGAATCATTGTAATTAAGAGTTAAGACTGGATCGTAATGGCCAATTCGGCTCAACCAGTTATTTGTTTTATTTTTATTTCAAAATAGGGTATAAATATATTTTGAAATTGGACCCCTATCATACAATAACTCCTAAATTCCATCTTTCATATTTCAAATCAGTAAAGAAATGTATAATTCTCTCTAAATTGAAATTCAAGTTATCTAAAATTATTCTAAAATAATTACATAAACTCTCTCTGTGAATATTAGCATTTATAAAGATATATTTAATTTATATAAAGCTTAAAATGCTCATTATAAAGAAGTGCTTAATTTTATAAAGTGAGTACAACATCACCTCTAAACTTCTGTATTGGCAATAATATGAAAGTTAAAAATATGGGTAAAGGTATATCCATGTCTACCTATAATAACAACAATACAAATTGCCATCAATATGAGTAGAAACAAGGTATAATGAGCACTATTGTTCGCTTGTCTCCTAAGTACTATCATCCTGGATTCATACCATCATAATGAGATTATATTGTCATATTTTTAATGTTAGACATGCTTTATATTGCCATATTTTCATCATTAATAATTTCAAGATAATAATATTTCTTTTTGGGAGAAATGGCTATATAACTTAAACAAATAGGTTACTTTTAGTTAATAACCTCTATTATTTTTATTAAAGAATATAGCACTTTATCAACAAATATAAAAACATGGTAGAGTTAAATACAAGGCTCAATTGTGTTTGATAATTAAAAATGCATTTGGATAACATCAAATTGCATGCATTTCGGTGTTTACATCTTACATGTATATACTCATAAACTTCTAGGATAATTTAAAAGGCTATGCACTTTATTTTTGTAAATGTATAACATAAACTTAAATGTACTTATTAAAAAATGTATACACACCCAATTATCTCTTTGTTTTTCTAGATAAACATTTTAGTCTTATTTAGAGAAAAATAAGACTAATTAGCTAACAACATTTTAGTCTTAAAATAAGACTAAAAACAGTTTATTCTTTATTTTGGGGAATTCCTAACAACAACCTTAATAAGAGTAACACTAATTATAGCAATTACAACATTAATAAGTGGAATTTGGTAGCTCCCATTTACAGCTTGTCGGACTATTAGCTAGTTGCTTTTTTTATCAAACATATAACTTTTGGTTTCACACGCTTAATTAATAATCAAAATAAGTAAGGTTGAAGTTACTTTTCTAACTTAATTGGATGAAGTTACTATCTATGATCATTTTAGCTATTTATAATATACTTTTTTCATTATTTTATCAATACAATTCGTAGTATATTTTAAATATAATTTTTCATAATTCAGCAAATTCAACTGTTTCCCCCAGAATCTCATCAATTTCAGTAGATTCAATAAATTTCAATGTTACCAAATAGACTCTAATAATGAATGACAGTAGTATAATGAGAATAATAATAATTCACCTTAACTAAGGCACCAAATACACCAAGACTTGTAAGCCTCAACCACTCCAAAGGCTTATTCCCATTTGCAGTTATTCCCAGAAACGGGTGGAGATAAAATGTTATTTTTGCTGCAAAAGATTGACAGCAGCAAACTTATTAGCTAAAAACCTACAAGTCAATTAATTAAGCATTTAAGCTAATGAAGTTCCGTAAAAAATTTATAGTTTGTGTTTGGTTCGTTACCTGGGAAGAAAGAAACCAAAAATATCATTCGGACATAAGAAACAATTGCTTTTGCTAAGGATTCGTTACATTTAATAATTCACACAAACACACAATGTTACTATATACTCCCGTCCCGCAAAACTTTATTAGATTTTCATATTTAGCCGCCTAAAAAACTTATCATTTCCTTTTAAATTAATAAATTATTAATAAATACTATCTCCGTCCCACTAAGATTAGGACATGAGAAGGTGACACGGTTATTAAGAAAAGTGAGTTTGTGTGGTTGATATTAAATTGATAAAGTAAAAATAAAGTAAGAATGATTTTGAGCCACTCAAACTTTATCAAATTTGGTATGTGACAATCTTAGTGCAACTTCCCGAAAAGGTAAAATGGGACAATCTTAGCGGGACAGAGGGAGTATGTGATTAAAATTATGTCTTTTACACGATTCAAACTTTATAAGTCTATACAATGCCGATCAACATTGGGACAGATTTGGCACAGATTTGGCACGGATTTGACACGGATTTGGCACGGATTTGACACGGATTTGGCACGGATTTACCGATAATTTCGTGCCAAATAGCTCGTGCCAAATTGTTTTTGGCACGGATTTGGCATATCCCTGCCAATTTCGGAAAATCTCTGCAAAAAATATCTGTCAATCCCGTGTTTTTTTTTGTAATGGACTCCCTATAGATATTTACCTTTGACAAATTCCATCCTTGTCTGCGGGTGGCTAGCTATGCACTGTGGGTACGAAACACAAGTTAGACTATATCATGGAAGAAGAATAGAAGATGATAGGACAATGATACATTTACAGCAGTACTATTGATTGTAATATAACGTAGACCAATTGAGTTTATGCTATCAAGTATCAACATACGGAGTATAAATTATTCAATTTACTTATTGTGTCAAAACAAAACAAAAAAGATATTGACCTCTAAGATGTTTTTCTAGCTCCACCAATGTACATATCGTTTTCTAGGATTAAATTAATATATGGGTGGAATTGGAGAATGCACACCATTTTTATCCATTTTGAGTTTGTAAACTAAAGTTAAAATAATCCGTTAATAATGTGATGCAATTCTGCAAATTTCAATTCGGGAGAAATATTGGAGAGCAGAATTCCAATTCTAAATGCAAATATTGATAAAAAAAATTTGAGGAACAAATATTGATAATTTTAGAAATTGTAGTATGTATAAACTGGAACATTGGTGAAAATAATTAATGAGATAATAAAAAGTGTTGGAAGAAAAAAGTAGGCCTGGGACCGGTTCGGTTCCTAGGCGAAATATGTGGAACCGTTTGAAAATATGAAATTTTACTAACGGTTCGGTTCTTATAAATTATTTTGTAGAACCGATAAGAAACCGAACCGTTCTTAACGGTTCGGTTCTTGTCATTTAACGGTTCCTAGTATTTAAAAAAAATCTTACAAATCACGGTTAAATTTGTGTCAAAAATACATTCAACGCTTGAAATTACAATACAAATATGTTGAACTTCATTTCAAACCTCAAAAGTTGAGTTTAAAAGATAAATACATAACAAACTGCAAATTTTAGAAAACAAAAACAAAACAAGATATTCGGTAAAGAAGCCCAATAAAACCAGTTAAATGAAAAATAATTTTAAATAGTTAAATAACTAAACTAAAATAGTGAATGTAATATGAAAATAGATAAGTAAATATACATTAAAATATATATACTAATAAGAAATATATATAATTTTAATTATTATATATAACGGTTCTTTAACGGTTCCACATACATATTTTTTACAGGAACCGAGAACCGAACCGTGAATAAAAAGTAGGAACCGAACCATTAACAAATAACTAATAAATTTTGGAACCGAACCGAACCGGGTCATAACGGTTCGGTCCGGTTCGGTTCTCCGGTTCTTGGTTCCAAAGTCCCAGCCCTAGAAAAAAGTGTTTGTCATGAGAGGGAAGTGAAAGACCGGGAAAGAACCTGAAATAGTGCAATGGCATTGCAAACGCGAGTTGATTCTCTGGCGGTCATCTTTGGGGGTTGTAACTTCTTGTATGCGGACAAGATTTCCTAGAATATAATTTATGTCCAAAGATATTACATATTCATAGGTAGTACAAAATAATAATAATTCTTGAGTGATTTTGAAACTTAATGTCGTATATATGAGAATAAAGAAATGCCGAGTATATAAAACTCAAGTAATACGATAAAAAAAACTCAAGTAATAAACAACACCGTTTTGTCCTTGAGCTTTTTTTGAAATGCCGAGTATATAAAACTCAAGTAATACGATAAAAAAAAACTCAAGTAATAAACAACACCGTTTTGTCCTTGAGCTTTTTTTAAATGATTTTTGTGTGTGAGATAAACGGTGTATATTAAAATCCGGAAAACATACAAGATAATTTCAAACAGTTACTACTAATGCATGCGATCTTAAGTCCTAGAAATAAACCTAGAAATAAACCTAGCGTGAGTCATCTCATACAAGACAACATGACAAGACAACATGCAATTTTAAATTTAAAACAATAAAAACTGAAACACTGTATCAAAAGTACTCCAATTATCCAAACCAAACATACTCGAATAAAAATAAGCACTACTAGAAAAAAATGCTAAAATTTGCAATTTTAGTCCTATAACTTTCGAACCCTTTCAAACACCGTTTAAATTGATGAGTGACCATTGCTTTCGTAGCATGTACTATATATGTCTTAACCGAATGAGAGGTCATGTGCTTACTAATAACGCTTGTTGTCTTAAACTAATTGAATTGAATTATTGTTGTGTAGTTCATTTTGTGAGTGCATATATACGTAATTAGTTTAAAAAGTAGGATTAACAACAATAAGTATCTTTTGGGAATTTCTATGAAATTTCTAATGATGTGACTATCACAATCACACATTTTTTTTACAAGAATGGGGTCTTCAATTTAAAAATGGGCTTTTGTAATGAAGGTTTCTTAGTTCATACGATTGTGGTAGAATCATAGATGGTTTCTTAGATTTTTGGATGTCCTATACTATCTGTCTATATATATATACATGGGCACACACACTCACGCGCGCACACGTATATACATACATACATGTTTTCAATTTATATTCATATTTCATTATATTTAAAACATGTATAAGCCCTCCAAGCGTTCTCATGAGAAAAATTGAGTAATTCAAAAAGTGTACACAGTACACTCTATAACTTTAAGGCTTCATCAACTTCAATTAAAATAAATAA